CCTACCCGAATTAAAGGGGCAAGGCTACACAAAGTAATTAGTGGTCACATACTGTATTGTTTTACCATGTCTAGGAGGAAGCATAGCCAGGCCACCTCAGGCCTAATGTGAACTCTTAGCCCCAGACTCTACTCTCTTTTGGTGAATTGGAAAAAGCTGGGATTTTGGAATAGGATAGAGGTGGGCCCCTGTCCTGGCCCCATCACTTCTCAGCTGCATTGGAGGCTTACCATGACCTGGCCTTCCCACCCCTCCAACCTCGGTCCTGACCTGTTGCTGGTGCTGGCAGCACAGGTGGGGAGCCCTCCAGCCATGGAAAAATTCCACTCCCTCCACCGCATAAATTGCCTGCCAGTTAGAGGTTATCTCTGGATGTAGTATCTTTCTTTCCTTCCCACTCCTCTTACATCCCACCTGTTATGGATTGAATCGTGCCCTTTCCCCAGCCTCCCAGAAAAACGTGGTGAATTCCTGGCCCTGTACCTATAGATGTGATCCTGTTCAGAAACTGGAGTTTTTCTTTGGTTAATAATAGGTCATTACCAATTTAGGGTGGACCCTAAACTTAATCTTTTCTGAGTTATAAAAAGATCATAAAAGACACAGAGACACACATGGAGGAAGAGAAACACACTGTGTGAAGATCACTTATAACCTAAGGAAACAAGGAATGCCCAGAGCTACTGACAAGGGATCAACACAGCCGAGACCCTGGTCTGGGGCCTCCAGAACTGTGGAAAAAGAAGTTTGTTTTTAAAGCCAGCCACTTGGGGTATTTGTTACAGCAACACTAGGAAACTAAGACACCACCCTTCTCCCCAAGGCCCTCTCCTGCCTGTCCGTCCCACACACATACCACAGCACATACTGGTCTTTTCCACTTCACAGGCCTTGTCCTCTACCCTTTATGTGCCCCATGGCTGCCCTGCATTGTTAATCCTCTCTTTATTCGTCCCTCTGTATCTTGCCATCTGAGTAGGAGCCCTTGGGTTGTCAGATCTGAGCCAGGGGTAATAAGGAGTATTTGTTGATGGTGAACAAGGCAGATTGGCACGGAGGAGGCTGGACAGATGGTTGGGGTGGTGACCACACCTTCCCAGCTAGGAGACCCTGGGGTAGTGGCAACAAACAGCCTTCTGGTCTCTTGCCAAAGAGGCCATACACAACAGACCAAGTTTCTGGCTAGTGAGGTAGGTAGCTGTTAGAGTAAGGCAGGAGAGGCAAGGGGAGGGAAATTCTTTTTGAAGACGACGCTTCTGCTTTGGTTTCCTTTTCCTGTTCCTCCACGTCAGCCCAAGACCAACTTTATGGACAAGGCCACTACGGTTGTGAGTGGCCAGGACCAGGTTTAAGTCTGTCTGACACCAAAGCCCACTCATTTCTCACTACACTATACCAAGTTCATCCAGGCCTGTCCATACCCTCTTTGCTGGCAGACATGTACATAACCTTTTTCATTCAAGATGTAGAGGCCCCAAGGAGCCACCACCCTACAGTAAGGAGACTGAGGAAGGCAGGGGCAGGCAAAGATGCTTCAGAGAGCATGAGAAACGGCATTCTTTATTCATAAATAAAAACATAAAATTACCAGAAATAGTTTACATGGCCAGAAAGCAGCATCAAAAATAAAATTAAGCTTGCAAAAGCAAAGCAAAGCAAACAACAATAAAAAACAATAAAGAGAAAATATCTATGTACATATTCTTCCAAATGCCAGTCCATCCGAAGCCAGCCTTTGCTGGGGCTTCCAGCTTTGCCTGAGGATGCCGCACAGACCAACGGCAGAAGAAGCCAAGACAGGAGGCTCTTGTTGCCCGACGACACAGCTTCTGAGCTGGCAGGGCTGGCTTAGGAGAGCTCAGGGCCCCCGAGGACTCCCTCACTCACACATTGCTTCCCGAACAGCTCAGCCTGGTTTATCCTTTGGGCAACCCTCCCCAAGACATGGCTGATACAGGAGGCCCAGCTGGGCCCAAAGCCTCAGCAAGTACCTGAGAGGCAGGTGCGGCAAACCCCACTGAACCCAGGCGAGACAGCCCCCAGCTCCTGCATGAGCTCAGTGCCCATGAACATCAAGCTCCTTGCTTGAAGAACACAGCCTCCTGAAGAGAGATGCACTGTGTGGGCCCCTGAGAGTCTGGATCATCCCATTTCCAAGGCGCAGGCCCAGTCCTCATGGTGACATGGTGCTTTGTCTTTGCAGAAAGAGGGATCATTTTCTGGCCAGGCTTTCTTTAGGGAACAGAGCAACCCATCAGACAGAGTGGTGAGCATGCCAACAGAAGCAGGCATGCTCAAAGGGAAGGCAAGGAGCCCTCACCAGCCTGAGTCCATGCCCATTCTGAGGCCTGCACAGGCCTGACGGTCCCAGGAGAGGCTGGGTTTGGAAAGGTCCAAGAACAGTGAAAAACTTTTCCACAGGGAAGGGAATAAAAACGACATGGAGGTGAGGTCACTATGTTACAGGCTACTGTGCACTCTGGACCACCCTGGGCCACACAAGCCATCCTGCGGTCTTGGGCTGGTGCAGCCCAAGAGAGCATGTGCCACCTCACATTATAGGCCAGGTGTGGCCAGCACGTATGAGCGGCTTCGGGAAGGCAATGCTCCCCTGGGTGGAGGATGTGGGCTCATCATGCAGAGGCAGACTTTGTGCAGAAGCAGCCCTTCCTAGTCTGAGCACCCACCTCTTCTGAGATCAGGCCTTGAGGGCTGAAAGCTGGGCCTCTGGCAGCTCCTCCCTAGGGATCTCGCATCTGGGCAGGGGACTGCCAACTCCTTTATCCCTTTGGGGCAATGTCACTGGGAAGAAGGACGCAAACAAGGCACAGGCTGGTGTGAAATGGAGGAAATTAGGGGCTGGGGTGAACACAATGGGGGGTGCTGGGAGGGAGCTTTTGGGCTGCCAATTCCAAGTTTAAATCTAGCCTGTGACTAAGAGCAATGAATGACTTGAAATTCCAGAAAACCTCCTCTGTCATGTGAGGGCACAGACCAGGCACAGCTCAACTCTAAGAACCAGAAAGCAGGCAGGCAGCCAGCCCTAGGACACATTCAGGGAAGAAGCTGCAAAGGGACTGTGGGCAAGGAGACCTGAGCCCCACCTCATGCTGGAGTCTCTGAGAAAGGGCCAGGGCCAGGGAGGTAGAAATGGAGAGTGGCCTGGGACTATGACGGACCCAGATTTTCCCATCCCCAGCCCATCTACCTCAGCCAGTCCTCTCAGCAGACAGGCAGGAGGCCCAGGAATCCAGCAAGGGCTGGTGTCTTAAGAATAGCAGCTGTGCCTAGAGTCAAAAATAGAACAGGGAACAGCCTGCTGCCTGCTAGATCTGCTTGTTTCTGAAGAGACAAGAAAAATGAAAATTCCCTGTACTAAGCAACTGAGAAACTCCACTTTTTCTCGCCTCCCCCAGCTCTGCACCTTTCAGGAGAGAAAGGTGGGTGCCCCCAGGCACTGAGCCCTCCCCCTGCAAAAGGCCAAAGCTCTCTAGACTCACACAAATAAGAGAGGACAGCTGTGGCCCTGGGCTCTTAATAAGGCTGTTTGCATACCCCTTCTTCCACCAGCCTGGAGCTCCTGCCCACCTGCACATTGGACACCCCCTCATAACATGTAAAAGGCTTATTTGAGTTAGCACTGAAGATGCTGTGCAGAAACCAGGCCCAGAGGGCCACAGGCAAAGGTGGAAAATGCCCAGATCATATATGCACCATTTTAGTGGGTGTGGGTTACACTGACTGGTAAGCAAGGTCTTTGGGTGACACAAATGGTTAGGCTTGGCTGCTAACTGAAAGGCTGGTGGTTCAAACCACTCAGCAGCACTGTAGGAGAAAGACTTGGCAATCTGCTTCTGTATAGACTATAGCCAAGAAAACCCTATGTAGTAACTGTACTGTACCATAACATATGGAGTCACCATGAGTCTGAATCACCTCAACAGCAACAGGTTTGGTTTTTGTTGGTTTTGGATGGAAAAGCAAAGGGTGGATCCTTGGAGGGGAAGGATCCAGAGTATCTACTGGCCAACCATGGACTAGGCAGGGAAATCCTACCTGGAGCCCAATCAGGAAAGATGAGAAGGCTCTCTTCTTCCTGGAACCACCAGAATACCTGACCCTCCTTGCATCAGGCTGCCTTCAATCTTCCTTCCCAGCACCCATTCCAGGACCTCATCCCTATGGCTTTAAGAAGAATGGTCTATGAGGGAAAAACTCACCAGCTATCCTAAGGCTGCTCATCTTCAGCCAGGTCAAGCAGGCAGGATGATGGAGCCCAGGGTCTGGCCAGTACCTGCCATGATCCTCACTACTCAGCTTCTCCCTTTGACCTCCTCTGGGTCTTGCCAAGTCTCAACACTCCTGGGCTGCCCCAGCTCTCACCTCTCTCTGTGGCTTGCTGGGGTGGAGGCAGCTCTGATATTGCCAAGCCAGGCTCTGCACATCCTACTCCCACCTCTCTACATCTGCAGTCAGAGGAAAACAGCTCAGGTTATGGTGGACTCAGATTCCAAGGCTTCTTCTGGTCAGAAATGGCTTCTTTCTATTCCCAAGGCATCCCAAGGTATCCAGGGGGAAAAAAAGAGTGTGGAAAGAGAGACAAAAGGGAGCTTCTGTCCTGGGGTCACACAGCCTCTGGGGTCACATAGTCACCAACTTCCCTAGGAGAGGCTGTCTATGTTTCCAATGGCTCATGGCAGCATCAGCTCAAGGCCTTGGTTGGGGGAGCCCTTAACCAAAGGATGGAGATGCCTTTGCCCCATCTCTTGGGAAAGCCAGGGGAGTCAGAGCTCATCTCGGCTGCATTCTACAGGGTTGGTGAGCATTTGGACATTGGGAAGGGAAGAATGGCCATCTCACAACCCTGCCCTCCCACTCCAGGCTCTACATCTGTGTCCCAGTGGCTGCTGAGCAGGGAAACTGGGAGGGGAAGCCTCCCCTAACAGGCTCAGCACCCTTGCTCCCAATGCCAGGTCCCCAGCCCTCTTCCCAGGCACCCCTCAGATCTCAGTGGCTATGATGTCCTCATAGGGGATGTCAGCCCCTTCAAGATCAATCTCAAAAGGCTCTCCTGCACCCTCTCCGCGGGCCAGCTGCTGCAGTGCCTTCTCCAGGCGCTGGTTACGCTGGTACATGGCCAGGTAGCTCTGCTGTAGCTGCTTCTGATACTGAATCACCTTCTCCTTCTCCTCCTTCCACACCAGCCGCTCGTGCTGGAAGCCCGAGGACAGCTGGTCATGGCCTTGCCGTTCCTCCTTCAGCTCAGCCCGCAGCCGCTCCAACTCCCGCTGCAGAGCAGGGATGTCCTCAGAGAAAGTGGCCCCGGCCCCCAGCCCAGCACCCAGGCCCCGCAGGGGAGCCGCCTCCCGCTGCAGGGCTGCCTGGGCTCGCAGCTCCTGCAGCTCCTGCTCCAGCAGGTTCACCTTCTCGCGCAGCAGCTCGGACTCATTCTTCTTGCGCTGTAGCTCATTCTCACAGACCTCCAGCTCCAGGCTTTTGGTACGCAGAGCGCTCTCCAGGTCCTGTGTCTTGAGCTCCATGCCCTCCAGCTTGCCCCGAGCATCCTTCAACTGTGCCTTCAGATTGAGGATTTCACTGGCCTTGGCATTGACCTCCGTCTGGGACTCCTTCAGCTGCTGCTTCAGGAGCGAGATCTCACCTGACTTCTGGCACACCTGCCAAGGGTGAGGGTCAGGAGAAAAGAAAGGGTGCCAAGAGGTGAGTGTCCTTATCTTAGGGGAGGTAGCATCTTAACTGCTTAAGAGAATAAAATGGTACTTTAGTTAAGAGTACCCCTAATACATGAAGGTCAAACCAAAAAACCAAACCAACTGACACTCCATTCCAACTCATAATGACCCCACAGGACAAAGTAGAACTGTCCCATAGGATTTCCAAGGCTATATCTCTTTATGGAAGCAGACTGCCATATCCTTCTCCTACAGAGCAGCTAGGGTTTGAACCACTGACCTTTTTGTTAGCAGTCAAGTGCTTAACCAATGTGCCAGTAGGGCTCCAGACATGAAGGTCAAAGCCCTTTAAAGGTGCCTTTTATTCTCTAGTCCAACATGGTCCATCCACAGGCCTGGTTCAACCCCGATTCAGGGTCTAATTCTCAATCTGTATCCAAACCCAAGACTATGTATAAATCAAGAAGCACTGGCCCAATGTGTCCACTGCTTGTAGTTCCATCATCCACATTAACAACAAATGGTCTTGATTTCAGTGTCTGTCTGATTTCTAGCATCCATGTTTATGGCCTACCCCTTGACCTCACCCTGACTCCCTATACACACCCAGGTCTCCCTACTGGGTAAAGACTATAATGGTGTCTTCACTATTGTGTCCCCAGTGACTAAAGCACCATGCCTGGCTCAGAGACAGTGACCAATAAAGATATGCTGAATGATGGATTATTATATCCTTCATCTGCCTTAAAGAGCTCTGGTGGTGTAGTGCTTAACACATTCAGCTGCTAACCAAAAGGTCAATGGTTCAAACCTACCAGCCACTCCACAGGAGGAAAGGTGAGGCAGTCTGCTTCGATAAAGATTCACAGCCTTGGAAACCCTATGGGACAGTTCTTCTTTATCCTATGGAGTCACTATGAGTTGGAGTTAACTCAATGGCAGTGGGTCTGGTTTGGTTTGGTTTGGTCACCCACCTTATGCTTCCATTGTTTCTACTCCTGTACCTCATCAAACTTCGGTAAAGAGCAGTGATGCAAACCAAAGTGCTCCATCAGAACTACTCTGGGCCTTGGCCATTTAGGGTCTTGGGCGACTCAAAAGACGACCAAGGCCAGTCGGGCAGGCTGAGTCTAAAGAGAGGTTACTGGTATCCCACAGAACAGCCAGAATGAAGACCAGAGCCTGGGCCACTCCAGAATGGATCCTAGAAACAATACTGGAAGGCACCTTCACTTGTCCTCTCATGTGAGAAACTCCCCCTTTCTCTCAGGAACTGTCTCTGGAACACTGCACAGATTCAGCTTCACCCACAAGGCTTACTTATACACCAGGAATGCTTTCCCACATCCAAGCTGTATTCATTCCACATAGGGAGCAGTACTGAGGCACGGCTGAGGCATAGACTCTGAAGCAGACCGCCTGGGTCTGAATCATAGCTCTACCACTTAGGAGTCCAGTGACCTTGGATGCACTAGTATGGTGGCAATACAGAGTGGTGATCAGAAATGTAAACCACACCACTGTGATCAAATTGTAGCTCTGATACTTAATATGTAGTGACCACAAGCAAGTCACCATCTGTTAGCATAAACTCTCTGTGGCTGTTTCTTTCATTATAAACTGAAGATTAGTAACAGTACCTACTTCACAGGATTGTTGGAAGGATTAGAGGAGAGGACCTAGGGCATGGCACTTAATAAACACTCTATAAATTATTATTTATTATTGTAAACATGTTAATAATAATATGCTTATGTGTCATAAATTACTATGTTGCCTGACTGGATAATCTGGGAAAAATGTCACAGCAATGTCCAGCTTGGCTTCAGAAAGTACAAACAAAGATGGATGCCTAACAACTCCCACCCCCCAAAAAAAAACACACACACACACACCATTGCAATTGAGTCAATTCTGACTCACAGCAACCCCCACAGGGTTTCCAATGCTGTAAATCTGTATGGAAGCAGACTGCCGCATCTTTCTTCCACAGAACCACTGGTGGGTTCAAACACCCGACCTTTTGGTCAGCAGCCAAATGCCTTAACCACTCCAACACCAGAGCTCAGCACTAGGTATTTCTCTAAGAGGCCTCAATGTGCCCCTGAGCCTTGGCTGAGAAACCACGGCTAGGGTCGGGTCCCTGTGCCAACATCAGTGGGAAAGAGGAAACACACTGCTCCATGGCGAATGAACTTTTCTCTTTGGGAGACCTGGCAAAACAGAAAAGGATTCTCCCTTCCTTACTGGTCCAGTCCCCTCATCCACCTCTTCTTTACAAACAGTCGTTTTACTCTCTGCTCCTTAAAATGTCAGTCACCCTAACTCCCAGGACAAGCACAGGAAGCTCTAGTGCAAACAGGACTGCTGTGCTCAAGGGTGGACCATGACTCCATGTTTCTGGTCTACCCAGCCCTGAGGTAGAGGGCTGGACACAATGGCCCCCTGATTCCCTTCTCAGGGTAAGAATCTTGAATGGGGTACAAAACAGAGCTGCCATGCACAGGCTCCTACCTTTCTAGCCACAAAATCTCCAGGAACCTCCAGGTGAGAAAAGCTTCTTTCCTATGAGCAGGGGGTATGGGTTATGCTGGTTCTCCCTCAGCCCTGCCTCCTCAATTCAGGGTCTACATCTCAATCATTCACATTACCACCAGTGGACCTGATTTCATTATCTGAATGCCTCATTCCTTACCTCACTGCTGTTGAGTCAAATCTGACTCACAGCGACCCCTCCTTGGGTTTCCGAGGTAGCATCTCTACAGAAGTAGATTGCCTAATCTTCCTTCTGAGGAGTGGCTGGTGGGTTTGAACTACACCACCAGAGCTCCTGTGTCTACTGGTATGTGTATGTGTGTGTGTGTGTGTGTGTACTCTTTTCTTCCTCTTCCATATTTCAACGTTGGCCCATCAAACAGAAAGTTTCACTGATTTCTACAAGGAGTGGCCAGTTCCATCACTGAGACTTGCCATTAATGGGGTCATTCTTCCCAGTAGCAGAGTCACTTCCCTCAAAAACAATATAAAAATTCTATCCTGTCTCTTGGGCTCTTGGCCCTGCATGAACTCAGGCATCATGTGTGCTTCTTCTGAGTCTTTTGAAAGCAGATGAAGTAAGGCTGGTCCTTGGACAGCTTGGCCAGGCCTTGGTTTTATCTGCTACAACTTCCTAGCCAATGAATCGGTTAGTAAATTCAATTCTGAGGGCTACAAGGGTGATGGTGAGGAGACAACAGAAGGCCTCATTCTGATCTCAGGACTAAATGCATCCCCTGACATGACTTACTAGAGAGTTCTTTCTTTGGGTCATGAAGCTGGCCCTTTAGCCCAGTCTGCCTGGGCAGTTTGTGTTCACGCATTACTGGCAAAAACCTAGAGGTGAGAATGGAGGACTAGCACCAAACACCTGACCCCCACAAGCCCGCCACCATTGTGCAGGCCTCACCTCCCACTGGGTCTCCTCCAGTGCAGGGGCAAAGTTGGTCTTCTCCCTCTCATAGGACCTCAGCTTGGTCTCCAACAGGTCCTGCTCTTTCATGAGGCTCTCAAGCTCCTGCCGGAGCTGCCGCTTTTCTTGCTGGAGCTGTAACACTTGGAGGTGCAGTACCTGTTGTGTGCGCTGGCTCTTCTGTGAGGCCTGCTTCAACTTGCTGCTGCACTTCTGCTCCAGGCCCTCCAGCTCCTCTTTGCAGCGCCGCTGCCGCTCGTCATAGGCCTGGCTAGAGGCCAGCTCCTTCTCCTCAAAGCTGTGCTGTAGCTTCTGGAGCTCACCCTCCCTCTCCAGCAGCTTCTGCTCAAGCTCTTGGATGGTGCACTCATCCGTGGAGATGGGAGAGCGGACGCATGAGGCACCCTTGTCCGCCTTGCCCGGGTGGGCCAGCTTGCTACCCCCATCAGAGAAAGACAGAGCCTTCAGGCTCATCATGTTGCTGTCCTGGAGAATGATGCCCTGTGTGATATTATGGGCTGAGCCTCCAAAACGGCTGGTGGGTCCCACAGGGGTGACCAGCGGGTCCAGCTGGTAGCTGCTGGTAGTGCTGTGTGTGGGCAGACTAGACATGGAGTTCCGGCCAGAGTCGGACAGCGCCCCGGAACACAGGCTGGGCTTCAGCTCCTGCTCCTTGGGCTTATCTGGGGGGGCAGGGTGCAGCTGGTGGCTGCCACTATCAGGGGAGGAGTGGAGGAGGGCTCCTGACCGGGGCAGCATGGGCTTGAATGCAGTGGGTCGCACAACACCTTTCTCTGAGCCCTGGGAGGAAAGAGAACACATTGACCCTGGTGTCTCCCTTTAGCACTCATCCCATCTCTACCCCTCCACAAGGTTTGTGTGCTGACCTCTGTGACCCACAGTGAGCACATTCCAGTGCATCCAATCCCCTTCTTGGTCAGTGGCCATAGATCTCATCAATTTCTCTAATGCAGCCAAATGGGATGAATCTCTCTAAGGAGCAAATCCTTGATACTGCCTTAATGATCACGTAGGCACTTTGTTCTATGAAATACCAACTTATCACCAGCTTGTTCTAGACCTCCTGAGATAAACACAATTATGGGGTTCGTCAGCTGAGATACTCGGGCCTAGGCTTTGGCTCTGGGTCTCTGTATGGTATAAGATTAAGGGCATTAAGCTGGAATTTGGAAGCCCAGGTCTAGTCTGGAAGAGTCTGATGTGCTTGCTCAGGTGGATCCCCTTTCTTCACCTTCACTGCCCTGCCATTAAGCTGGGGCAAGAATACTAGCCCTAGCCTCTCATAGGGCCTGAGGGATCACTTGAAGTGAAAATTCTTTTTTAAAAAATCTTATTAATTTTCATTGGCAGAACACTTTGCAGTTTGCAAAGCACTTAATTTTGCAAACCTTAAAATTCTTTTCAAACATGAAAGGCCATTTTCCTAATATATCAAAGCCATGAATTCATCCCCATCCCCACCCCCAACAGGTAGGGAGACGAGGGAGAATCAAATAGGAAAATTGTTTCCAGTGCCACTGGTAGGACCATGAGTGGCTGAGCTGCACAAAGGGCTGAATTTCTGAGTGTTTAAAAAATTTGTTCTCATCTCTGCTAAGTCAACGGTAATACCAAACTCATAGCCCTTATCTAGCAAAAGCCACTTCCGGGCCAGGATGGACTGAGGAGTTTACTATACCACCAGAACAGCAAATGAGGAAAAGACAAATGAGTAATGGTGGTTCAGTGGTAGAATTCTTGCCTTCTAGGCAAGAGACCTGGGTTCGATTCCTAGCCAGGGTACTTCATGCACAGTCACCACCCTTCTGTCAGTAGAAACAGCTTTCATGTTGCTACGATGCTGAACAGGTTACAATGGAGCTTCCAGCCTAGGAAGAAGGGCCTGGTGATCTACTTCGGAAAAACAGCCAGTGAAAACCCTATGGATCACAACAGTCCAAGCCCCAACTGGTAATGGGGATAGCATAGGACCGGGCAGCATTTCATTCCATTGTGCATGGGGTCCCATGATTTGGGAGCCAATCTGATGGCAGGTAATAACAACCATAGGGTGTGCAGAGTTGGCTGTGAGCTACCAACTCTCCCAATGTACTCTCCATCTACTCGTATGTTGTTGTTACGTGCTGTCGAGTCGGCCCCGACTCATAGCGACCCCTCCTTGGGTTTCCAAGGCAGTATCACTACGGAAGTAGGATTGCCCAACCTTCCTTCTGAGGAGTGGCTGGTGGGTTTGAACCACCAGCCTTCTGGTTAGCAGTCAAGTGCCTTAGGCACTGTGCTACCAAAGCTCCCATCTACTCATAGAGACAATATAAAATTTCCTCTTCTCACAGGCTTGAACAATACTTTTGTACTTTTACAACCCAAAGTTACATCCCAGTAGATATCAGGAAGGTTTTACCCCATTTACTCTGTGCTAAAGGGCTAGCTAAGACTACTGGTTTAGGGGACTGGGTAGTGCTCCAATCCCTCATCCAGCTTTTGATTACTGCAGTATGATGCCACCACCCCTGCCCTTGACTATTCAGAGATTTAAATGTTTCAAAGATCATCCCCACACCCATGCCCTCCACCTCCATTTTGATTTCTCCTGCCTCTCCAACTCTTCCTACCTTCCCCACAGACCCTCACTTACCATTTCCACCTGACTCGAGAAGGGCATAAGCTTGGGTGGGGTAGACAAGCCAAAATCCACCCCAGCTTGGCCCATGTCTCCACTGGACAGGGCAGTATAATCTGGGCGGTGGGAGCCCCGGGCCTTCTGGCTGACCTTGATGTAGAAAAAGTCTTCACTCTTGCCCATTTTGGAGCTGGACTTGCCATGAGTTGATTCCTGGGAAAAGCCGAATCTCAGCAGCCCATCTGAATATCGATTGAGCTTTTTGAGGTGGGAGGACTTGCGCAGCTTGTACTGGGAAGCCCGACAGTGCTTGCTGTGGAATCCATGGCCGGAGATGAGGCTACTGACACTGCCCATGGTGACTTGGAACCAAGGACAGGCAGGACAGGGAGGGGATGTAACGTGGTTGTGGCAGCAAGGGGTAGACCTGACTCTGAGAGGGAACTGCAGTCATAGCAAAATCCTCCTAGAGCCTCAGAGACTGTAGACCTGGAAGAAGACACAAGGCAGAAGTCAATCTGGGATGTGGCCAGTCTCTGAGAAGTCCTCAATGGTAACCAATTCTGACTGCCAGATCTGGGCAATAGAGCAATATATGTTACAAGCCCAGCCCTGTTTCTGCTATTGGGTCTTCCATTCATTCTTCTTTTCTCCACCAATTCAGCAAACATTTACTGACAGCATACTTCAGCAAAGCTCTATTCAAAGCAGTGGGGATACAGTAGTCAACAAAACAGTTACAATCCTGGCACTGTGGAGATTCTGTTCAGTGTGGCCAGACCACAAGAAATAAATGTACACTATATCAAGTGACTCTCTGAGTGGCGCAAATGGTTTGCACTCAGCTACTAACCAAATGATTAACAGTTTGACTCTACCCGTGGCACCAAGGAAGAAAGCCTTGGTAATCTGCTTCTGGAAGATCACAGACGTTGAAAACCCTATGAAGTACATTTCTACTCTTGACATACCATGAGTCAGAATCACCATGAGTCACAATCAACTCAATCGCAATGGATATATCAAGTGATGTATGTGCTATAAGGAACTCCGGTGGCACTGTGGAAAGGTATTAGCCTGGGACCTAAAAGTTCAGCAGTTTGAACCCACTAGCTGTTCCATGGGAGAAAGATAAGGGAGTCTGCTTCTGTAAAGATTTGTTGTTGTTGTTATGTGCCGTCGAGTCGGACCCGACTCATAGCGACCCCTCCTTGGGTTTCCGAGGCAGTATCACTACGGAAGTAGATAGCCCCATCTTCCTTCCGAGGAGTGGCTGGTGAGTTTGAACTGCCAGCCTTCTGGTTAGCAGTCAAGTGCTTTAGGCACTGGACTACCAGAGCTCCCCTGTAAAGATTTACAGCCTTAGAAATCCTAGGGAGGTTGCTATGAGTCAGAATTGACTCAGTGGCAGTGGTATGTGTTATGTTGTTGTTGTTATGTGCCATCGAGTCGGACCCTAGTCATAGTGACCCTTCCTTGGGTTTCCAAGGTGGTATCACTACAGAAGTAGATTGCCCAACCTTCCTTCCGAGGAGTGGCTGGTGGGTTTGAACCACCAGTCTTCTGGTTAGCAGTCAAGTGCCTTAGGCACTATCTCACCAGCTCCAGGTATGTGCTATAGGGAAAAATAAAGAAGTTAGAAGGATAGAGGTGGCTATTTTACATAGGGTAGTCAATAGAGGTGTCTCTGTTAAGGTATCATCTGAGGAGACCTAAAGAAAATGAGAGCAAGCCATGCAAAATACGGGATGAGAGAGTTTATCATAAGCCCCCAGTCCAAAGGCCCTGAGTTCCTGAGTGGAGAAGCCATGCTGAAAGTAAAGATGACTTGAAGTGCTTTCTAATGAAGATTAAAGACTACACTCTGCAGTATGGATTATACCTCAATGTAAAGAAAATGGAAAGTCTCACAAATGGACCAATAAGCAGTATCATGATAAATGGAGAAGAGACAGATGTTGCCAGAGATTTCATTTTACTTGGGTCCACAATCAACACCCATGGAAGCAGCAGTCATGAAATCAGATGATGTATTGTACTGGGCAAATCTGCTGCAAAAGACCTCTTTAAAGTGCTGAAGAGCAGAGATGCCACTTTGAAGACTAAGGTATGCCTGACATAGGACATGGTATTTTCAATAGCCTGATATCCATGTGGAAGCTGGACAATGACTAAGTGTGGTAGTTATGTTTGTGTGTCAACTTGGCTGGGCCTGGTTGAGTGGCTGCACAGCTGGTGATAGTTAATCCCCATGAGGAGACTGGTAATCAACTCCATGGTGGGATCTACCACAAGCAGCTGGATAGCTGCCTTTGGGTGTGTGGTCTTCTTCCTGTATATAAGGAGAAGTATTTGGGAATGGTCTCTAGCCTATGGCATGCATGGACCCTGCATGTAGCCATGTCATTGCCCAGTAGGCTGCCATACTCTGCTGACCTTGGGACTTGCAATGGACTTGAATTACTGGCCTGCCATGTGATCTAGTAACATCAGGTCTGTGCCTTTTTACTTGTCAACCTTGGGGCTTCCAGCCTCAGTAGCCAGCAGCTGTTTGAGTGAAGAAACGCCTCTAGCTCCAGTGGGCCGGGAGCAGAAGGCAGAGCTGGAACCCAAGGTTGAGGGGCTTTCACCCAGCCCCTAGAGGCTGGCACTTTGAACTTGGACTTAAAGCCTCCAAATTGTAAGAACTCCTGTTTGTTAAGGCCATCTCATTTGTCGTATATTTTCTCATCACAGCAGCACCAGGTAACCAGAACAATAAGGAAGATCAAGGAAGAGTTTATGCTTTTGAGTTGTGGTATTGGCAAAGAATACCGAAAGTACTATGGACTGCCAGAAAAATGAACAAATCTGTCCTGGATTAAGTGCAGCTGGAATGTTCCTTGGAAGCGAGAATGGCCAGACTTCTCACCTACTTTGGTCATGCTGTCTGAAGGGACCATTCCCTGGAGAAGATAATTATGCTTGGTAAAGTGGAGGGTCAGCGAAATAGGGAGATGGACTTGACACAGTGGCTGCAACAGTGGGCTCAAGTATAGCAAGGATTGTGAGGCTGGCACAGGACTGGGCAGTGTTTTGTTCTGTTTTACACAGGATCACTATAAGTCAGAGCCAACTTGACAACACCTAACAACAACAACAGTCAAGGAAAGTGTTTCTGTTAAGGTATCATCTGAGGAGACCTAAAGAAAATGAGAAAAAGCCATGCAAAATATGGGATGAGAGAGCTTACTATAAGAAGCCCCAAGTGTGAGTACAAAGGCTTATGTGAGACCAGCAAGGAGACCAGTCTGGTTGGAGGGGAGTTAGCACAGGGTATACAGGCATAGAAAGAAGTCAGAAAGCCTGCAGGGTTCAGACAACAATGAGCCTCGTGGGTCATATGGGCTTTGGCTTTTACTCTGATTGAGATACAGAAATCCTGGGTGACTTTAGGTAGACGATTTAGGTTTGCATAGTCACTCTTGCTGCTGGGTAGAGGAAACACTGGATGGCTAGTCATGTGGTGACCTTGATAAGAGCAGATTTGGTGGAGGGGTAAAAATAAAGGCCTGATTGGAAAAGTTCAAGAGAGAAAAGGGGAGGAAATAACTATAACCTCAAAAGCTGAGAAGTATGTGATAGACTTGACTTAGATTCCCAGCTATACCACGCACCAGCTATGACAACTGTGGCACATTATTTAACTATTTAATCTTCAGTGTTGCACCCTAATTCTATGACACATTTTTTAAAAAAATGTTAAATAGTATTGTATCTTATAAACCATTGCTTAAAAGCAGAACAGCCTTGCCAGTAAACAGACAAAGGAATAAGTTAGGATGTTACTACCTGAACATGTGTAGATTTAAGTAAAGATCACATGATTTTCAGAGTTCCCGTAAGATGGCAGATTAGGCAGAAACACTGCACAGGCCCTCTTCAACAAAGAAAAGGGGAAACAATTAACACAGACACAGAAGATAATCCTGGACCTCTGAGCTTTGAAGGGAAGGATATAGAAGTGGACTAAATCCCAACTAGCAGAATAATTTGTATGAAAATACCAAAAAAGGAGACATATGGAGCTGTGGTCTGGCAGCGATCCTGAGTGATCCTGACAGCACAGCATAGACAGCTTGGAGAGTGCCGAGTCTGGCAGGACCTAAGAACTAACCTAAAAATCAACCCTGCTAGCCAGGGACTGGACGGAGGACTGCTTGGGTGGCTGGTGAATAAAAGGAAAAGCAGTGAAGAGGAAGGTGGGCTGAGCTGTGGGCTTTTGCCTGTTCAGAGGGTGCTGCCATTTTGAATGCTTACAAGCAGCTTGACCATTCTGGATATTTAAAGAGACAACGCTCTCCCAGATTCCAGGGGCTTAAAAATAGGTTCCACTTGCCAGTAACCCCAAGACCACTCCGGACCTGGATGACTGAAAAGGTGTGACATTCCCCTTGTCACTCTTAAACCCCACACCCACTTGGTGAATGGAGGTGTGGCCACCCCCCACTCCCACCCACCTTCTGGGCTCGTAGGAACTCCATCCCAGTCTGTGTGCTCAGACGGAGCCTGGGTACCCTGCCCTGCCCCGATTTTTTTTCTTTTTCTCTTTCTTCTTTTTTGGGTTTTTAGTTTGCTTGTTTTTGTGTGTTTGAAAACTATTATTATTATTAATACTTTTGTCCTTTTTACTATTATTCTTTATTTTTCCCCTCCCAGGTCCTAGTTTTCAGCTTTTTTCCGTTTCCCTGTTCCTGGTTGCAAGTTTTTGTTTTGTTTTGTTTTGTTTTTTTCATTTCTTCTCATGGTTAACCCCACTCCATGTATTTTTTTTTTTTTTTT